CCCCAGCTGTTGGATGACAGGTTCCCGAACTGTCAACATCAAAATAACACCCAATTAATAATTGGGTTCCACTACATAACCATAAGTACATACTTTGTATAATTACTACATTACCCCAAGGTTAGCTTTATTCAAGCCCAAGGCCCAATCCATTGGCCCAAAGTCAACTAGAAATCAAAACCCAACATATGGCCTAATTTTCCAAATTGGGCCCAAACCTTCACATGGTCTCATTCTAAGGCCCAACCAAAAAGTTCAGTCCATCATTTGGTATTTCTAATGGCCGAATATCTCATAATCATAAAGGCCCATCTATGGCCCAATTTTCCAAATTGGGCCTAAACCCATTACATGGGCCTTACCTTAGGTCCATTTGATTATTCCAGCCCAATTGCTTGTTCTTGGATGGCCCATTATTATCCTAATCATCAAAACCAAATAGAAAGTCCCAACTTAAGGCCCAAGTGAAATTAGGGTTTTCACATAAAATGATGATTAGGGTGAAGTTTTCCTACTTAACCCATTAAGGACTTAATCCATTAAGTCCAATATTAACTTAAGTTGATTGCAAATGATTATTAATTAATATATTAGATTCATTATATAATTCCGATGCGGTCCCGATAAGTCCCAAATTAGGGTTTCCAAACCCTAATTAGGGTTTCCAACCCATATTAGCCCAATAGGCCCAATAGCTAGGTCCTTAAGCCCATTAGGGTTTAACTGGGGCCATTAGGGCTTCATTGGGCCCATTAGGGTTTCAAGCATCCCAAACGAATCAAACCCAACAAGGCAAGCACACCGCCACCCGACACGGCGGTCGGTGGCGGCAACCACCACCTCATGGTGGTGGTTATCGATTTTCTATTATTATTCATATACCGATTACAATTTACAACCCACTCTGAAAGGCACACGCACACACTAATCTAATAAAACACACACACACACGACCACCCTAGTGGTGGCCGGCGGTGGCCGGCGGTGGCTCGTGGTGGCGGTGGCTATTCTCGATCTTCCACCTAGACAAAACACACCCAACACACGATTCTGGTTTGTTCAAGAGTCCAGCCACCCACCTGGTGGCTCACGGCGGCGGTGGCAGCTGATTCACGATAGTAGCGACGCCGGAAAGTGGAAGGAATGGCGGCAGGTGGCGGAATTACGATGACAGCCACCACCTTACGGTGGTGGCAGCAGTTCTCTTGATTCCTGTGAGCAAAATAACGCACATACACTCCGATTAGCTCCATAAACGGCCCTTAAAGGCAACACACATGCATTTAGCCACCTACAAGGTGGCAGGACATCGTCGGAACGCCACTGAAATGGCGACCAACGGCGGTTACGGCCCCCAACAGCTAGAAAAATGGATGAAGGAGATGAGAGATAGTCTCACCGAGCATTCCGATCGCACACGACTCGTACTCGCCGGTCGCAGTTCCACCTTCATTCTTGATGGGGCTTCTCCAGCCGTTCACGACTTCACCTGAGGCGGCAGAGGAGGTTATGGTGGCGTTCGGTGACAGGGTGACGGAGGTTGGGACGGTAGTCAGGTTTGTCGTGGCAATGGCGGCTGAGAAAGGTCCGAAGGTGGTGGTCGAACCCAGCTATGCGGCGACAGTCGGAGATGCGGCGCCGGAAGGATGTCGGCTGATGCATAAGTAGGGTTAGGGTTTGAGTTTTATACAATATATATGAGGGTTGCATGAGGGGGTGGCGGGTTATACCCGTGACATTAAATCTTGTTTCATCCTTACACTTCCAGCCCCTCACATACATAATCTTTTCATAATAAATCCATATTTTACCTTTTTAACCCTCGCCATCTA